TGTCCAGGGCCCACTGGCCATACTCATAAACTTCTTCCACACCAAGCTTTCCCCTGAACAGGAATCTACTTTCTCAGAATATGCTCGCAGAAAGTACTAGCAACACTGGAATTTGTGCATAAACTCACACTGAAGATTAAGTAAAGAGGTGAGAGTGTCCCCGAAGACTTGCAGGGCCAGAACGGCCACTCTGAACACATTCACCCTGACAGTTCACATCTGTGAGCACCTCTGCCCAGACATAATCGCCTTTCCCTCTCTGAATTACAAGTGTGAAACCCTAGGGGTCCCACCGGACCAACAGCACCATTCAAACCCACACAGCCAGCTTCCACACGACAATATCTCAGGTTTTGCATAATAAAAATGAGACCTATAGGTCCTTGAGAAAGGAATGGTGGCTGGAGAAGAGAAGGGGAAGAAGCCCCACTCATGGTATCTCAAAAACACATGTATATGCACCTGTCGGCAACAGTCTGGCTAAGTTGAAACCAACTGTGACTGTGGGAACAAACGAGCATTGGGTCAGCAGAGAAAATGGCAAACACATGGGCAGTTAGGCACTTCTTGTTCAAGGCCAAGCAGACAGAAAGAAAGAGTGGCCAGAATTAGAGGCTCTCCAGGGCCACTTGAAGCCTGGGAGAGATTGCCCAAAGAAACCTCTTGTTATAAATAAGCAAGGCAAACCCTGCATCTGCATTCAGCTGCAGAAGCCCCCATCCCCCCAAACTGAAGAGCAGATGCTGCTGGAACTCCCCATTCTGACCACGGAGCACAGTTTTGAGAACAAACCAGTTTTGGAATTAATGCTTCTTTAGTTACAACTCCCCTCTAACACATTACAGGGACACTCCAAGGCCTGTGTGCCAACAGAACCTCCATCCTTTAATAAGAGGGGGATGCCCATCAGGGAGACAACACAGCCTGCTAACTCCAGGGTACTAAAGGTCCGTACCCCATCCCACCGCACAAGGGCCAAATGCGACTTCCTTCTTTACTATCAAACTCTCAAGGAATAGCTTTAGGCGACTTTGCATGGGGATTCTGAGACCTTCCCCAGACTTTCTAAGCCTCCTTCATCAAGCCAACCAGGATGTAAGAGTTTCACAGAAAAAAAAAGAGGAAATTTAAAATGTAAATAACAAACATGGTTTGGGAAGAACAGCCTGGGGAAACTTCAGATAAAACTTAAATAGGAAAGCTTGGGATAGAGCTGAACAGGTGGAAAAGAAAAAGGAAGACGAGACCAAGGTGGGGACCAAGGCAGTCCGAGAGGAGAGGATCTTTCCTGAACAATGGAGGGAGTGTGACAGGAGGGTCGCGCGGCAATACGGGACCCGGACTGCACAGCCCTAACACTACAGGTGGGTGTGGGTGCGGGATTTATACGCCAACAGAGAGGGCAAGCCTTACGAGGGAAGGTTCAGGGAAGAGTCCAGCACTGGACTCGCAGGGACTGAAGGCTGCCTGTCTGAGAGCCCCGGGGAGGTTAAGAGGAGCCCCTGAGAAGGAGCTGAGAGCCGGGCCACCTTTCGGGGGGATCTCAGTCCATACCGGAAAGTGAGGTAACCTTAATTTGCGATGGCAAGGTGGGAGGGGACAGCTTTAGGCTGGCATCTGGTAAGAGAGAGGTCTAAGGTGGTGAGCTCAGGGCAGGGTCACTCCCGGCCAAAAGCTGCAGCGCTAAGCCCAAGAGTGTGAGGGTCCGGGACTCCCTTCCAGTCTGCGGATGCCCAGCACGGTCTCGCGGGAGAGGGAGGCACCGCAGCTCTAGGGCCCGGTCCCCAGGCCGGAACTCTAGCGACAGGAGGGTCCCTGGGGTGGGGCTGGGCCCGCAGCTGGCGACGCGGGGCCAGGGAGGGGCTGGGGTCCCGGACTCACGCATCAATGTGCTGAAGGCCACGACGCCGAGCAGCCCCTGCAGGAAGATGCCGAAACTGTGCATGAGCGCGCCGCTTTCACAGCGGCCCGCCCCGGACGCGACCGTGGAGGCCGGCCCGCCTGGCAGTCCGCGGCTCACGTTCCCTCCCGGGCCTTGCATGACGGCCTGGCGGCAGGGCGCGAGGGGCCGCGCCGCCCAGCCGCGACCCGGGGACCCGGAGCTGGGAGCCGGTACCTCAGACCGCGGCCGCCTCCGCGCCGCGCGTAACCCGACGTCTGAGATCGTAGAGCTTGATTGGTCCGGCCAGGCGTGAGGCGGGCTTCGCCTCTCCAGGGGCGGGGCTCCGGCCAAGGCTAGGGGGCGGGGCCGAGGGGACTCCCTTAGCAGGTAGAGGAGCAGGAGAGCAGGACTGTGTGAAAGGCAATCAACAGAACCCTGTGCTCCAGGTCGTGAGGATAGCGTCAGAGACAGTGATTAAGCCTGTCGTTAAATCCCTATCCCCTCCAAGGTGAATCTTTTTTTTTTTTTTTTTTTGGTTTTTCGAGACGGTTTCTCTGTGTAGTTTTGGTGCCTGTCCTGGATCTCACTCTGTAGACCAGGCTGGCCTCGAACTCACAGAGATCCGCCTCCCTTTGCCTCCCGAGGGCTGGGATTAAAGGCTTGCGCCACCACCGCCTGACACAAGGTGAATCTTTAATGCTCTGGACAACTTACTAAAAATACTCATAGATTTTGCCCCCAGATTCAGATTCACTACTTCAGAAGTGGAGCCAAATAACCTGCAGCTACATTGTGCTGAAGCACGGTGCTGAGTGCAACAATCTCACACTGAGTCTTCTTGCCACGCCAGGCTTTGAGGGTTCTACTTTCCGTGGCCAAAGGCCAGAAGATTTGATTTATTACTCAAAGATTTAAGGTGAGTCGTTCCCCCACCATTTACATAATTTGTGGGGTTTTTGTTGTTTTGAAACAGGCTTTTTTTTTTTTTTTTTTTTTTGATTTTTCGAGACAGGGTTTCTCTGTGTAGCTTTGCACCTTTCCTGGAACTCACTTGGTAGTCCAGGCTGGCCTCGAACTCATAGAGATCCTCCTGGCTCTGCCTCCCGAGTGCTGGGATTAAAGGCGTGCGCCACCACCGCCCGGCTGAAACAGGCTTTTATGTAGCCCAGGCTGTCCTCAAACTTAAAACAAGTATGTGTAAAACAAAGATGGCTTTGAACTTCTGAGCCCCTTGCCTGCACATCCCAAGTGCTGGGATTTCAGGCCTGTGACACCACAGCCTGATTTTGCTGTTTTGTTTGAGATGGGGATCTTGTTGAGTTACCTGGGATGATTTGGAACTTCTGGACTCAAATGATCCTTCCACCTGTCTCCAAGGAGCTATGACTACAGTTCAGTGCCACTACACTTGGCTCCTCTTTTAATTTAATGGTTACTTCAGCATCTTTTACTTTATAGAAATATAGTGAGTTTAAATGAAAAGTCAATATGTACATGTCCCTACTTTGTTCACTTATGAGGTACAACTACAAATTGAATTTTTTTTTTTAATTTGTTTGAGACAGAGTCTGGAACTTGTTGTGTAGACCAGGATTTGCCAGCCTCTGCCTCAAGGCATATGCCACCACACCCAGCCTGATTTCCTGTTTTGTTTTGTTTTTTTTAAATACTAATGATGGATATTTGATGATCTCCAATATACCAGTGTGCAGACAGACACCCATTTAACTCTTACTACCTGGGCTCCTAGACTTCACAGGTGTCTCTCTAGACTCCTCTTGGTGCTCAAGAGCCCCGACTTTCCTGCTCCATGTCAATGGACATGTGTGTGGTCTACATTTGTTGGACAATAAATATCTCAAAAGAAATTTCTCCAAGAATGTCTAATTATCAAAGAGGGCTAAATGCTATTCAAAGATTTCCTGGTTAGCAGGAATATTAACTCTGTAATTCAGAAAAAAGTGCAATTCTCCATTCTCTCACAATCTACTCACACAGCCTTCTAATTGTATGGAGGCCGTTCCCTATTCCTGCCCAATGAACTGCTGCTCAAGCTTCAAGCCCACCTTTCCTCCGCATCCCCATGGTGCTTTCCCTTTCCTTGTGATACTTTTCAGACTGTTAGCTCACACAGCTGTCTCTCCTACCTCTGAAGATGAGCTTCCTGAAAGCAGAACTAGTCTTGATTAACTACTGAAACCAACAGATTTAGCATACAACAAACATACATTTAACTGGATTTCAACTTATAAATTTTAAAATGCTCCATAAATTTATTGACCATGGGGGAAAAGATTAAGAAAATAAATGGATATGGGAAACTTAAAATTGAATTATTCCCTTTAAGTCCAAGAAGGATCTTATATAAAAGCACTTAACAGTTACAGTTCATGTTCAGGGAGAACCAGAGAGTGTATCTTAAAGCAGAAGAGATTGTGACTGGGCATAAGATTATTAGTTACAGCCCTCGGAGGGTATAGGGGGTTGGGTGGTGGTGCAGACCTTTAGTCCCAGCACTCAGGAGGCAGAGGCAAGTGGATCTCTGAGTTTGAAGCCAGCCTGGTTTACAGAGCGAGTTCTAGGAAAGCCAGGGCTACACAGAAAGCTCATCTCAAAACAAACAAACAAACAAAAAACCCTAAAAACAAAAAAGATTATTAGTTACCTGAAGACAGAGTTTAAGAAAAATTGCACATAGAGCTGAAAAGTGAAGTGTGGGACAAAACACTGTTCTGTCATTCAGATGTGGATGATTCTAAGGCCCACAGAGAACAAAAAACAGAGGATTCTGCTCAACCTATCTCCTCTTAGTAACTTAAAAAAATTATCTAAATCCAGAAGGGATAGCAAAAGACAGGGGGGCTTCTAGAGTTTTATTCAAGTAGGAAGGGCCTCTTTTACTCATTTCAGAAATGACTCTCTGGTGCCCCACTAGAAAGAGTTTGGAAGAATGTACTCTAGCAAAAGCCTTTCTTACTATAAAATTAGCACAAATGAAGTTAAAGAGATTAATACCTGTTTATAATTTTCTCACAACCACCTAAAACTGTCATATCACAAATTTATTATAAATTTATTTGCCAAAAAGAAAGAAAAACACGCATATATTCATTCAAAATAGTTTTGTTTTGTTTTTAATCCTTTAAAATTATAACCATCAAACTTGATGGGAGTTATTTTAATAGGTATTCTAGTGCATATTTCTCCTTAAGTGTACTTGGTCTTCAATGCATAAATTTTTAAATTAAAAGGAAAAACAGCAAGCAGGAAGGATACAATGCCAAAAGCATTTCATTTTGTTCCAAACACGCAACTTATTTTTGTTTTTTTGGCTTGTTTTTTAAAAGTAAAAATACATTAAACAAGGTGCATTACTTGCAAGGAGAGATTATTGGAGAGAGGCCTAAGGATAGAGCTGGATCCGGCCTGGAGTCCCATCCTGGCAGGCCTCTGATTGTCATTAGAGAAAATTCAACTAAAAGGAGAGGAGGGAGGTGAGAGGAAAAACAAATGAGCACTAAGAGTCTCAACAGAAGCATTCAAACTACCTTTCCCAGTATCTTACAAAAGGGACTAGAGACTGCTCCTTCACCTCTGCCCAAGCTTTGTAAACTTCTGTCTCCTCCACTAAGCATCTGCTTTGTGATCTGAGTTGCCCTTAAAGTCTGTAACCTTCAACATTCTGTGACCACCTCTATTCTGCAAAGCTAGACCTAGAATAAACCATATGGGAACCCTGAAAACTGTCCCTCTCTCACACATCAGCAATGGGGACACTTTCACTGTCAGCAGCTCCCTTCCCTCCTGCCTGTGGCTCAGCTCTGCACTTCCCTGCTGGTAGTGACAACTGTCTGGTGAAGCTGTTGCTTGTCTCCCATTCACAGCACTTCACTGTGGTAGGCCATAATACCCTACCAGATTAGTCAGAAAAAGCATTAGTTTCAGACCTACTTTCCTATCCCCTACCTCCCCTACAAACCTTCACTCCTGTTTTTGCAGGTTCCTGTGAAATTCTGACTTCTTAAACACAGTAGCAAGAAAATCAATATGCACTGCATTTTTCATACTTAAACATTTTTTCATGTTTCATACTTAAGGCTGCTCCCAGAGCCAAGTTACCTGTGTGGCTGAAGACAAGCACCGAGGAAAACAAGCCCCAGGTGACTGGACCTGGAACCAGATCCATCTGGACTAGACTCTGGGTTTAGAATTCTTACAACTAAACTCTAGGTCAACAGGTAGCTTACTAGGGTAAATTCAAATTCCCCAAGTATATACATTCTTATACAAAGCAATCACCAACATTCATGAGTAAAACATTTAAAATGGAAAGGCAAACGCCAGGAAAGTGATTGTTACTTCTTGGTTGTACAAGAGGCTCTGTCCTTACAGAGTTTCTAATCCAACACCATGGCTACAAGACACGTAAGTACAAAGGTCCTCAGACCGGAGACATCCAAATCTACAAAGGGAGTATCTCTTTCGCCCAAGTTTTGTACTTCACTTCTGTGATGTGCTTTCTTACTTCAAAAGGACAGGCCGGGCGGTGGTGGCGCACGCCTTTAATCCCAGCACTTGGGAGGCAGAGCCAGGTGGATCTCTGTGAGTTCGAGGCCAGCCTGGGCTACCAAGTGAGTTCCAGGAAAAGGCGCAAAACTACACAGAGAAACCCTGTCTCGAAAGAAAAACCAAAAAAAAAAAAACAAAAAAAAAAACCCCCAAAAAAAGGACAACACAGGTCCTATTGGTAAAACGGATCATTTAGGGACTTGTATGAATTTGCACACACATGGAATATATCCAGTATGTAAGACAAGTTCAAACTCAATGTGTGTTTCCAGCACTTCTGGCAATCAATGAAACCAGAAAAGAATCTCTTCAATATAAGTTTTTGGTGAGACATATCAAGTAAGAATAAGCATCAGTGATAGTTTTTACAATGTTTTTACATTGCTGTTACCTTTCATTTAGATCCCCTTGATGTGATGTGTGTCTTGGAAACAGTGTTGACTTGAGAGGGTGGGGTGTTTTGAGTCCTACCTGCCTTAAGCTATATTCAGGCATCCCATTAATAACCAACTTGGTTCTCGAGAGCACGTAAAATGTACTCAAGTCTTCAAGTCTTCAGGAAGTTTGGGTCTAATGCCCTTTCCCTAACAGTGAAAATAATTTTACTTCTAGGAAAAGAGACATACAAAGGTCAAAGTCTGAAGTGGTTTTCTATTCCTGCCTCTATTATAATTCAAAAACTATTTACCAAGATCATCCCTTCTAGAGGTTGGCTAGTACCCTTCCTTGAGACATATTATAAACACAGGGAACCAAGTACATTGCTAAAGAAAGACTAAAGATAGAATTCAAAGGCTCCATTAATGCTTTCCTATATTTGAAAAGGATGAAGATGGCTCACAAAGGAAAATAGCAGTCACAAGAAACCAATAAAATATAGTCAAAACATCAGGCCAATCTGCACACACAGGTCAAAGTTTCTCCTAAAGGACCAACAAAGCTGTAAAGTCTAGTTTAAGTCAGTTTACTTTTCAGGTCTAGGAGGATAACGGAGGCCATTCATGCGTTTCTAAGTTTGTCAACCCAGGTTAAAGATGGATCACAATAAACTTGCCTACAGGCAAGCTGTGAGATCAACTGCAGACGAACTCCAGACAACATACTTCTAACCAATTTATGAGCTTGGCTTCCTCAGAAACAGACGTCACACACAAATGTGCAACATATAAGCCCCTTACCCCAACAATGCAAGCTATTACCAAGCTTAAAACATCTGAGAATCACCATAATTGAACAATCACTGCTACCCAGCCTAACTCTAGCATCTTAGTTATCTAACTTACTATCTTATTTATCTAAATAGAAAAAAAAAAAAAAACAACCAAAAAACCCACAGTCTCATATAGTCCAGGCTAGCCCAGAATTCACTATGTCGCTGAGGATGATCTTGAACTTCTGATCTTCATTTCCACTTCCCAAGTGATGGGATTAGAGGTATATGTATCACCATACCCAATTTGGGATTAGAATTTTATACTTTAAAAAGTCCTCTGCAAAATTCTCATACAATTATCCTTTTATGTGTGACACCTGGGAGGAGGGATGGGGGTTGATAATTCTTTTTTTTGTTTTGTTTTGTTTTTTTGAGACAGGGTTTCTCTGTGTAGCTTTGGAGCCTGTCCTGGGACTCACTCTGTTAGACAAGGCTGGCCTTGAACTCACAGAGATCCGCCTGGCTCTGCGTCCTGCTGGGATTGAAAGCATGTACCAGCACACTGGGCTCCATAATTCTTCTTTAATGTGACTATCAAGTATACTGTATCCAAATAAGAGTGCAAGGAACATTTAAGGATACCCTCCTCACTTGTCTAATTTATGAGTGGCCTTTCTACAGGAGAAAGGAGAGACTGAATAATTATGGTACAGTCAGACAAGACTGTTGTGTTCCAACCCTCCCCTACTCAGGACTACGTAGAGCCATGTGCTTCACCTTTTCAGACACAATACCTGTCATCTCTGATAGTTCTACATTCTGTCATCTTTGAGGTCAAGAAGAAAGACATAATAACACAGTCACCGCTGTCACTCTTCCTTTTACTAAGACAACAGTGTGAGATCCTACAGGCATAGGTTTTATGAGGCCCCCCTTTTGTACTAGTGACTTGACTGTGGAGGTCTGGGGAAATTCTAGGAAGACAGCCACTCCAAATCAGCCTGCCAATACTAGCTGTTTCCGAGTGTCAAGTATGCTTCTCTCCCAGGGTCATGAAACACTCAAGTTTTTAAAAGCTGGATCTCTAAGTAAGCTCAAATAATGAGCTGTTACTTAGATGCAGATTCTTCCAGATACACCTGTTGGTAACAATATGAAGAGTTACCGTGTGAAGACTTGGTTGGAGGGCTTCAATTAAAATGGTTCAAGAGTTACCCAATGAAGAACAGGATCCAGACTACAGACTTTCCCAGTGTCCATAAAAACAAATTGGGGTTGAGGTAAGGAAAAAAAAAATCACAATTTAAATTTGTAATATTACCTTATATTTGTATAGTTGTTCAGAATTTACTCAGTTTGCAGTTTTAAAACATTTTCAATTCTTGAGGAAAAATGCTTAGGGTATAAATCTGTAGAGAGATTAGGGTAACCCCAAAATAAATAAATAAATAAATAATTAACAAGGAAAACATTTAAAGGAGGCAACCTGTGTATGTATGTCTTTCCTTACTCATGGCTACAGTATAGCAAGTGCTATTCTTCTAGAATAGCTAACAATGTCATTATAAGTGAAAATTCACCTAGAGTTTCGTGTCAACTAGAGTTTAATTGAAAAAAAAATTCCAAGAATGAGCTACTGAATGAGAATCCTCAGACTGTAAATTACATTAAATTTAAATTGGTTTAACTGCAGACAGGTATACACATGGCTGAACAGAGGCTTACAGACTCCTCCACCACCTCTCTCATCAAAGTACCAACCAACTCTGATTGGCTTTCCAGATAAGACAAGATCTGGGACATTTGGGGTGGTGCGGTTATGGACTCCATAACTACTTCTCAATAATTATCATGGAGGACACTGCTAACAAACTCCATACTTTGCGCCACCCCCAAAGCCACATTTTCTCTGCTGTGCTTCTACCTGGACACATCTAGAAAATTGGGAAAATGGGCTTTACAGTGGATCCAAACAACACCTACTGATTTTCACTGAGAGTAGAGACTCCAGAAATGAAACAGAGGTAGTCAAACAACTCTAGAGAAAAATAAACATAAAATAAAAGCCACTTAAGTATCTTTCAAAACTAATAGGGAGAGAGTAATTAAACTGAAATACCATACATTAGTCTTTGTGAGGCCGCCTAACAAAGGTGGCCAAAACTGGGTCAAGATGAAGGAAATAACAGTAGAATTCTTAGGACAAATTGGTTAAGAGGTTGGTGTAAGTGCCAAAAGGATATCTTTAAGAAAGCAGACAGGGCCTTCTCTAACTTCTGTCACAGATTTAGCATTCAGCTTAAAAATGGCATTATACAAAAATGTCACTCATGGCTGTAAGCGCATTCATCAACAGAGGTAGTAAACAAAGGAACTCCTAAGAATAGATTTTAAAATGGATCAAAGTGTGACTATACATTCAAAACCTTAGAGCCACATAATCATCCCCAAAATGAACTGCTTTAATTTAAAAAAAAAAGAAAAAAGAAAAAGAAAAAGCTTAAAAAACACAATGACAATGAAGCACTGATGTGCCTTAGGCACAGTCCCAAATCAGTGCTGACTTAAAGCTGTGTCCTCTTTTCAAGAAAGAGAAAGCAGAGAACAAAGTTCAATCTACAGTGGGAAGGAATAGAATGAAAATAACCAAACTGGTGCTGTCCAGATCACTCTCTGTTTTCCCATCCATGGGAATTCATGTTTTTAAGGTTTTTGTTTTTTTTTTTTTCTCACAACTTTTTTAACTGCAATCTTCTGAACAGAAGTCTGTATCTCCACTGTAGGACAGCCATTTTTGTGCTGTTTTCGATTCCTCAGTGTGGGTCCTCCTTCCCTGAAAGTGCAAAGAAAGCAAGCCAACATTTGCAGGGCTGACAGCCCCAGGACTCCTGCAATCACCTGCAGAGCATGGTAAAGGGTTTGCTGCACTGTGCTTCAAAGACCCAGTTCACTCTGCTTGTCCTTCTCAGTTGGCAAACTGCTCATAAAAAGCAAACTTGATCCTCTCTATGTGATGGCAAAGCTTGATGGCAGGGCCCAACTTTAAGTCCATGCACTCTTGAACAGTGGGAAGGGTAAGGAGCAGAAGGGCCTGCCCATCGATTTCCTGTTGAGGACAAAGAACAAAGTGTCTGTGATGTGCACACAACGCAGCTCCTCCGCAACTGCCCTACTTGCACTATCACAACTACAGTCCTCTGCTTCCCTGTATTAATGAGTTTCCCCTTCTAAAAAGGGCCCAAGTCTGTCACCCTGAGAAGCTTTCAGAGTTAGTAATAAATCCTACTATATCCTTGAGACTCTAATCTATAGATTCTGCTCAACAGAAATTCAGTATCTGTGAAGCCCTGTAACTAACAACTAATTGTGAAAAGGAAACAGACTTTTAAAGGACTCTATTTTTTTTCTTCTTCTTTTTTTTCTTTCATTTTTTTTTGAGACAGGGTTTCTTTGTTTAACAGCCCTGGCTGTCCTGGAACTCTTTTGAAGACCAGGCTGGCCTCGAACTCAAGAGATCCAACTGTCTCTGCTTCCTGAGTGCTGAAATTAAAGGCGACCATGCCTGGCTAAAGGACTCTTTCTAAATCTAAAACTATATGAAAATACTAACTATAACTAATGTTCTCCTACCTTGTAAAATTCATAAAAACCTTCAAAGATGATCAGGCCTTTGTTTTACTTTTGAGACATGGTCTCACTGTGTAGCCTCCAATTCACTATGTAGCCCAGGCTGGCCTCCAACTTGTGAGCTTCTTCCCTCAACTATCCAAGCACTGAGGTAACAGTCATAGATGCTGTTTTGAATAGCACTACATCTTCTGTCTTCCATAACTATTTGTGGCCATTACTCTAGAGCCTGGCATATTAAAGATGCTAACTTTTTTAAAAAAAGACATCAAATCATTATTTTTAAAAAGATGAGGTCGCCGGGCGGTGGTGGCGCACGCCTTTAATCCCAGCACTCGGGAGGCAGAGGCAGGCAGATCTCTGTGAGTTCGAGGCCAGCCTGGGCTACAGCGCGAGATCCAGGAAAGGCGCAAAGCTACACAGAGAAACCCTGTCTCGAAAAACCAAAAAAAAAAAAAAAAAAAAAAAAAAAAGATGAGGTCAATTAATATATGCCTGATTTTAAGTTATTTAAATATTTATAGGACAGAATTAAATTTCGAGGGAAAACAAAGCAATAATCTGCTGCAATTATGGTACAAGTCATATGAGTAACAGAATGGAACTACAACAATCTTTTGTACCAAAATATTGTTTTCTAAATCTTGTACTTTTTGTCTATTATACACATAGTTCTTTGCCAAACAGACATTATTATTACAGGTTATGCTAGTCATGATTACCTGGTCAAGGAATATTCTTGCCAGTGGAGCACAGTCAGTGGACCTGATGAACCGCACAACGTCTGCCACGCTCCATTTCAGTGGGTTACTGTCCAGGTGAAGCCTTTCATCAACTTCAATCCTTATTTCCTTCATTCCCAACAACAAGATCAAACCAAATGGTATAAGCACTACATTTTAAAAAACGTCTCCCCAAAGAAATTAAATAATCTATCAAGACAGGATTTAAAGTAGCCTTAAGACTAACATCCTCCATTCCCCTATTCTCCCTCTCTTGGACTGATTTCTTCCAGCAAAGATGACAAAGAGGCCTATCTATATGCATTTAGCTATTTGGGAAACATAATATGAATTTTATTGTATTTATATTTCAAATGTGTCTCTGGACTGTTTTGGCTGTTCTCTGAGTAGGATGCTAGAACAAATGGTATTTCAAATGAGAGCAAGAAGAAGAAATCTTTTCTTGCTCCTGTTACTCGGACATTTTAAAAGTCCAGTTTAAAACAGTAATTGTGTTTGTTTTAGAGGGGTTTTATGTTGCCCAGGATAGCTTTGAACTCATCCCCTGCCTCCACCTCCCAAGTACTGGGATTACAGAGTATGTCACCACACCAGTTTTATACTGTGATGGGAATTAAACATAGGGCTTCATGCATACTAGGCAAGCACTCTACCAGCTCTAAAATAATAAGTGTAACATTCAGTATTATATAGGTCATACAATGTGCATAGTAAATATGCTAAACAAGATAGCTTAATGAGAATTAAATGGGTGAATAATTTGTTTCTAGAAAACTACACATATCATAAAAAATTATTTAAACAACACCTTTGCTTAAACCAAATGGGAGATTACAAATAAACTATCAATGAAACTTTTTCTTTTTACTTAAAACCAGCAGCTTGAGAATGTCCCTTCATAAATAATCTCCAAACAATTCTTGAAGCACATGAAGACCACAGCTTTGAGGATCACTTTATTCTCTTTTTTTAAAGATTTACTTGTATTTGTATTTGTGTGTGCATGCACACCGTACCCAAAGGGGCCAGAAGAGGACATCCGAACTGGAATTCCAGGCGATTTTGTGGGACACCCTGCCATGGGTGCCAGGAACCCAACTTGAGTGCTCCAGAAGAGCAGGATGCTGAACCATCTCTCCAACTCCTGGGGATCAACTGAAAATGACCCTACAAATTCTTCTAAGTTTATATGGAAAGAAGTGGAATGCTAGCACCATAAATGATAGATTGTAAAGGGAAATGAGAAGATTTTTTTTTCTTTTAAACAAGGTACCTTTGGTGAAGGAGGCTTATTTTCCTCATCTGAGAATGAAGGAGTGCGGAGTTCCTTTTTACTCATCTCTGTGTCTGGGGGTTGTGGGGTGGGCATCTCATTCTGGGTGGGAGAAGGGGAGCATGATTTTTTTTCTGACACTTCAGATTCTTCCTGTAATTCATCCTGTTGTTCAGATGCACTGTCCTCACTTAGAGAATCATCATCTCCATCATCTGCATCATCCTCATCTTCACCCCCACTGCCCTAGAGGAAAAGGAGAGAAATCTCACTGAAACTCAGGACAAAGCAGTAGTCACTGGACCACAAAATCATCTACTGACCAGAGACTGAGATGACAAAAATGTGCAGGCACTATGTATACAGACTGTAAAGTAGTGGTCATTTGGCTCCTACAAAGGACAGCTATGTCACAGATCTCATACCTGGGGTGAGCCCACTGGGGTATTGTCAACAGACGCAGAAGCACGTTTCTTCTTATGAACAAAAATATTTTTCCTCCTTTTCCTCTTCTTACTGGCTTTTTTCAGGGCACAAGCTAAATTACTATGACCACCAGGTGGCCTTCCAATTCTTTTATTTTTCTTCTTTCCATAATAGTGTGCTAAATATAAATGACCAAAAAGAAGGAAAAAAGTAGCTCCATTATTGTTGTGTACCTCAAAACCACAGGATTTCATTAGCACAGCAGAAAATGGGTATACTACATTTGTAGTTTAAATTCCATACATTGGAATAAGCAGAGAAATACATAATTTGATTTTTGTACTAACATGTAAAAATGTAAACAATCCTCACTTTATCAAGGCAGACAACATCTCCATCAATACAGAGTTTTCTCAGGGCCCCAGTCATTCATTTGCAGGGTAACCTCTTTTCTAGTTCCTTCAATGCACATGAACTTGCTCTCTGCAGCACCATGCAGTAGGCAATGCTTTATAAATTGCTTCTTTCATACACTACGATTCATTTTCGTCTCATCTGTGCTGTATATATAACATTTAAGTAGCTCATTCTTTATGTTGGTGAGTAGGATTCTATTATAAAGATGTACCCATTCATTGATTTCACTGTTGATGTGCACTTGGGCCATATCCAGGTTTTGACCATAATTAATAAAGTTGTAATGAACAGCTCAGGTTCTTTGCAAGAGCAGTAAGTGCTCTTAGCCACAAAGCTATTTCTTTAGCCTCTCAAACAAGGCTCAAACAGGGTGTGTTTTCATTGTTTTACACAAATACCTAATAATTAACCTGCTGATGTTTTAAACAATTTAGTGTGTATGGGGGGAATTTCTCATTGTAGCTTAAAAAATAACAATTACATAGATTTACGTGGTACATCATGACAATCCAATATATTTGTATAATATGTAATGATAAGATCGGGTTAAACAATATAGATTTCACTTTAAACGTTTATTTTTTGTATTACTAACAATTGAAATCCTCTCTACTAAGTATTTTAAATATATAATTAAATGCTGCCAAAAGTTAGCCTTCCATATGATCAGTCTAAAAAAATATCTCCAAGAATACCTCCTTTGTCTTAAAGGAGGTAGATGGTATTCCTGGGCATCATCAGACCTCTGTCCTGGGGCCTCTACACACAAAGGTGCACACAAACATAAAAAGTTACCCCTCCAATCCTACTGCATTATTGTACCAGCAAACAACCACTCTCCATCCCCACCTCCTGCACATTCTTCCCAGGCTCTGGTAAGCAAGTACTATTCTATTACTAACTTTAGCTCCCACATAGAAATGGGGATACTTGGTATTTTTCTTCATCTGTCTGATTTGTTTCTCTTATCGTAACATCCCTAAGTTCTATCCATGTTACTACAAATCTCAAACTTCTGTTTCCCAAGTAACAAAGTCTACTGAGCCATTTTCATGTGCTTACTGAACATTTGTATAAGATCATCTTTCATGATGTTCGTGCAAGCCTTTTATTGTTTAAAACTGTCTTCTTTTTACTTTATTTAAAAAAACAAAAAAAAATGTGACACTGTGGATTGAACCCAAGATTAGACAAGTACCCCACCACTGAGTTGTAATCGCTTTTTATTTTTTATTTAATTTTTTTAAAAATTACTGAGAAAAATTCACACATAAAATTCACCCGGTGGACTGTTTACTGGCTTCAGTGCAGTAACTGCTGTGTGAAATCATCAACGCTAATTCTAGACATGTTTCTACTTTTTTTATTTTAATTGAACCAAAATTCATATAACATACAAATAGCTATTTTAAGTATACAATTCAGTGGTAGTTAGCATATTCAAAATGGCATGCGGCTATCAGCTCTGTATCATCTCATAACTTCCCTTTTTATTACTGAGTTGTGGAAATTCATAACATGTTCTGGAGAGAATTCTTGGCTGGATCACACATATTTCTCCAATATCATGGTTTGGCTTCCTCTTTTTAAAATGGCATTATTCAAAAAACAAAGTTTTCCATTTTGGTGTTCTTATGTGTTTCCTTTATGTCATCAGTATTTCTGGGTCCTCACTAAGAAATCTTTGCTTGTCTTGAGGTCTTGAGACTACGCTTGCTTTTTTCTAGAAGCTCTTTAGTTTCAGTTTTTACATAAGGCATCTATATAAGTCTAAAATTGACTTTTTATATTGTATGATGGAGGAGTCTGGTTTTCATTTTTCTGTTTGGATATCCACTGTTACTGGTACCATGTTAAATTTAGTTCTTTCTTCACAGTTTGTCACCCTTGTTGAAATCATTTGATCTTCTAAGTTTCACTTTATTTCTAGGTCCTCTATTTCAACCCACTATTTCATTCTACTACTCTTTAACATTTATATTTCTGAATGACTACAACTGTCTTTTATGGTTAAAAAAGAGTAAGTCCTTCAACATTATTTGTGTTCTTTTTTCAGGATTCAAAGTTTGGGTATTCTAGGGCCGGGTGGTGGTGGCGCACGCCTTTAATCCCAGCACTCGGGAGGCAGAGCCAGGTGGATCTCTGTGAGTTCGAGGCCAGCCTGGGCTACCAAGTGAGTCCCAGGAAAGGCGCAAAGCTACACAGAGAAACCCTGTCTCGAAAAACGAAAAAAAAAAACAAAAAAACAAAAAAAACAAAGTTTGGGTATTCTAAATACTTCTTATTTTTCTTTAAAGTTTAGAATATAGAGACAAAAACATGCAACAGCTGACATAGTGGTATAGGCCTATAATCCTAGTAACTGGAGGGCGGAGAAAGGCAAACTGGAAGTTTGAGGCAACCCAAAGCTACCTAGTTTTAGGTCAGTCAGGGCTACACAGAAAGAGTGTTTCAAAACAAGAGCTGGGCATGGTACTGCACACCTGGGCTACATACTAAGACCTTGTTTGAAAAAACAAACCAAAGCCAAACTAAACCAACAAAGACCTCAACACTTCCAACCTCCCTCCCACACACACAGGAAGAAAAGGGGGGCTTGGGATGTAGCTTAGAGACAGGGTGCTTGCCTAGCATGCAGGCAGTCCTGGGTTCAATACCTAATACCACATGGAGGGAGGGAGGGAGGAAGAGAAGGAGGGAACAAGCAAGCGGGGGTGGGGGGTGGTTGTAATATTGTCTATTAAGCAAAGTAATGTAAAAATCTAATATAATTTTCTGCAAAAATGAATTCCTCCTTGGTTCTTTCAATTTTAGAGATTTTTTTTAAAAAAAAAACATACAATAAAACAACAAAAACAGAATAAATGAGATCACATAACCAACAGTGTATTTATCATCTAGATGATCCTTTATAGAAGAAGCTTGTGCTTTTGATAACATGAATGTCTACAAGGCTAACACATGTGGAAACCGTTACTCACTGTATTTAGTCTTTGTAAGAACAGAGCAGTTCTCAGAACATGTGTCCAGGACCATCCGTGGACCAAAGAGGTTAGGACAACATTCCAGTTTGATACACGTTTGCCGGCAGAATTCAGTCACTCGATCCGCGGTTTTCACTATCTCAACAGTAGCTCGATAACTCTTTCCTTTATATCTACAGTTAGAGAACATCAGATGTCAAATTTATTCCAAATAAATTAACCAATGATTACCCTAAGAAAAATTTAACAGAAGCATGCTGAAAAGCTTTACTTGTCTTTCATAGTTTGAGAATTCTTTTTTTTAATGATTTATTTTTATTCTATGTGCATTTATGTTTTGGCAGCATGTATGTCTGTCTCTGTGAATGTTCTGGATCCCCTGGAACTGGAGTCACAGATAGCTGTGAGCTGCCATATGGATTCTGGAAACTGAACCTGGGTCCTTTGGAAGAGCAGCCAGTGCTCTTAAGCGTTGAAACATCCTCCAGCCCCTATAATTTGAGAATTCTTAAAACAAAAAGGAAGTTCTACAGTCTGTACTTAAGTCTATACTTAAATCTGGTACACTATAACTTAAAAATTAAGTTATTTAAACAAGAAAGAAAAAGCTTTTACTTTCTGTTCTTAGGTAAAAGTGTGTGTGTATATATATGTAATCATGCATTTATTTATTCATTCAAGTGATCAAACCCAGGGGCCTCAAGCATGCTAGGGAAGTACACTACCACTGAGCTCTGTTCCCCAGCCTTGAAGAATTTTAAATACTACTTTTACTAACTACTACAAAAGCACCCTTTTTACTAAATCTTCCTTTATCCTGAGCAGTGATCCTCAGAGTATGGCTCAAGGACAATATAACATGCCAACTCCCATCCATCCACAAAAAAAACTTCAGGTCAGAAAGCAATAGTAAACGTTCATAAATTTTCACAAACGTTTTAAAACATAATTTTCTCTATATCCACTCTAATAAAAGTGTTCTTGTGTTTATATCTCTTAAAGTTTGTATTTTTTAGATTCATTTTTATCATATAACAGAAAGGAAATCAAAAAGGAAAATCAGCCCAGTCCTTCACCACCAACAGCTGCAGCAGCTCTGCTCTGGGAATATAAATGATCTGACACTACCAAGAAGCTCCAAGGCCTGTGAATGACACACAAGAGGAAAGGGTGAGGTACTCTACTCACTTGGCTTTTAGGACTTCCCCACATCCATGCCACACAGAGTCTTTGTCCAGCTGGAGCTCACGAAGGACACGGCTGGGTTTGTAGGCTGCATTGATAAGTAAAGTGAGGACCTGAGATGGGTTTTAAGGCAGAAATGTAGGTTCAAGAGGAAAGGGAAAAAGAAGACCATTAGACTTTTAACACACTTGCTAGCCTTAAGACTTATAAGATCATTTTGGAAATTATTTCCAGTTATATTAAGAATGTTAACAAAATAATAAAAGCAAAAATATATCAGCTACAAATTAAGAGTAATTAGATTACTTAAACCATTCAGGAAAAAAACAAGCACCACAAATTTGAAAGTACTCTAGCATGTGCTTCCAAATGTTTTCCCATCATGGTGGCACACAGACAACTATTTATTTGGGACTGGGGAGGAAAGGGTTTACTTCATTTACAGGTTACAGTCTTTCATTAGGTACCTAGTGGCAAAACTGAAGCAGAGACCATGGAGGAACACTGCTTACTGGCTTGGTTCTTGTGGATTGCACAGCCTGATTTCTTATACAATGCAGGACCACCTGCCCAGAGGTAGCACTGCCCACGGCGCACTAGGCCCTCCCACATCAATCATTAATCAATAAAATGCCCAAAGACTTTCTGACAGTCTGGTGGAGACTCTTCTTCCCAGATTGCACTAGCTTATGCCAAATTGGCAAAAACAACCAGGAGAAAGACTCTCTACAGACATCAGCCTTCTGATGGCTAGAGGGTCTGGAAACTAGCTTCCTCAGCTCTGCCTTGCCCTTCTCAAGACTGACAGGTTCAAGTCCTCAAATGTGTTACTTACAATGCAACACACTGACCAAAGGTGCTGAAAGCCCCAGAAATTCACAGCTTAATCATGGATTCTAGTTAATGCCACACAACCTCAAGTTGTAAACTAATCTCACAGTGAACACATACACTCACACACATGCACATTTTTTTAAACACAGGGTCTTGCCTTGCACTAGAAATTCTACAGCCTCAGCCTCCTAAGTGTTAGAATTACAGGCACATGCCCCCACCACTCCCATCAGTCATCCCATCCACTGGATCATCTAGGGCTGCCTGGAGCCTGAACTTGAGAGTTTGAACCTACAACTTCAGGCAACGCATCCTAGAGCCAATCCACTTGCTCCCACACATGGTCAGCCATCTGACCCATTGCTGGTCCCTGGACCATGTGAAGATGAACCCTGATGCAACTTAAGAGACCTTTATCCTACCTCAACTATGTGGTATGGTGACACAGTGCTCCCTGGCCCAACCCCTCCCAACTCCAGTCTCCATGCAGCTGCTAGCCAGGGACCCTCGAGCCAGTCTTGTGGTGTAAGGACAACAGTAACCCACTTGTATTCCCTGGCACAGGCCCTCCCCACTCTGCAGGCACTTGTGCCAGATCTACCCTCCAGGCCCAGCCAGGCCCACACATCCTGTGCTCTGGCTCAGTCTGTGAGTCCACCTGACCCTACCTCTGCCTGAATCCTCCCCAATTCACAGAAAACAAATAAAATTATAATTGCTGAAACACAAAATACAACTAAGAATACAAACAACAAAAACAAAAACCCCACAATTAAATGGCTACAACCACACACCTTTCAATAATAACTTTAAATATTAATGGTCTCAACTCTCAAAAGACACAAGCTGACTGAATGGATTAAGAAACAAAACTCCATCTTTCTTTTGTCTACAAGAAACTCAGCTTTAAACACAGGCACCACATTTAAGTAAAAGGATGTAAAAAAGTATTCCAAGCAAATGGGCACAGGAAGCAAGCAGGCATTGCTATCCTAATATCAGGCAAAACAGACTTTAAACTAAAACTACTAGAAGAGAGAGACACTTTACTCTGACCAAGAGTCAAGAGAACAATCAACGGAGAAGACATAACAACTCTAAACATGTATGTGCAAAACTCTGGAGTACTCAATTTCATAAAAAAAAAAAAACCTCTTACTAGAATTAAAGACACCAATGATCAACAACCCAGCATGTGATTTTCATACCCCACTGTCTCCATTAGACAGGACATCTGGACAAAAGATAAACAGAAAAACATCAGAATTAAATGACAACATATATCAAATACGACCTAACAGCTATCTACAGAATATTCCACCCAAACACTAACTAAAACACATTCTACTCAGCAGCCTACATCATGAGACACAAATCTTAACAAATTCAGAAGAACTGAAATAACTGTGTATCGTATCTGACCATAATGCAATAAAACTTCACACTGACAACAAAGAAATCTCTCCAAAGAACATAAGCTCACAGAGATTAAACTACTCATTACTGAATGCTGAATGGGTCAAAGAAGAAATTAAAAAATTCCTAGAACTAAGTAACAATGAAAGCACAATACAACAAACACCTGGGACCCATAAAAAGCAGCCCTTTGGGGGGAAGTGATAGCTCTAAGTGCCTACATTTAAAAATCAGAAAAAGCACAAATAACTTAATGATACAATTCAAGGATTTGGAAAAACAAGGACAAATTAAACCCAGTAGATGACAAGAAATAATAAAAATATGAGCAGAAATTAATGAAAATGAAATAAGTAACACTAAGAATCAATGAATCTAAGAGCTGGTTCAAAGATAACTAAAACTGATAGACCTTTAGAATTAAAGGTATGCATCACAACACCCTGCTTTTCATATGCAGTATGAAAAGCTCCTCTATACAGTACCCATGCAATCTCTGACAGACACCTTGTTTAGAAAGAGGTGAACCTATTTGAAGATTTGCTTAAGTGAATGTTCCCTGAGGAACAGAAACAAATTGTATACCAATTTGCCATGTAGGACAGTAGTATCCAGCTTTAACTGACTTTGTGTTCTGAGTTGCAGCACAGTGGTCTAAAAGCCCAGAAATAATTCACAAATTTTAAATTGTACACCATTTTGAGTACCCCGATGAAATCCTGTACCACCTGCCGACACATATGGATTATCTCTGCCTACTGTGTCCGTGGTATACACGTTATCTATAGTCTCTCAGCTGTGCCAGTTATCAGATCAGCTCTGGAGATACCACAGTACACGGTCACGGTTCAAGCAACCCTAGAGTAGTCTAATGTCACACCACTCATCATGTAGGCATTGATCGGATCTCACTGCAACAGTAGAAGGTACAACTCAGTAAGGTAATATGAAAGATGACTTTCAATCAACTTTTATTATAGTATATTGTTATAATTTTCTATTTTATTATTTGCTATTGCTGTTAATCACTTACCATATCTAACTTATTAAATTTTATCGTAAGTGTTATGGTTTGGACATGGTTTGAACATGTGTCACTGCCCCCCTCAACCCCCCAGCTTCCCAAAAGCTTATGTGTCAGAATCTTGGTCCACAGTATGATATAGACAGAATTCTAAAGAAGTGAGGCCAGGGGGAGATTGCCATGGTTAGTTTTAATTGTCAATCTGAATGTAGGCAGGAGTGTCAGTGAGGAATTGTCTAGATTTGGCTTCCTCATGGGCATGTCTGTGGGGGATTATCTTGATTATGTTGACTGACCCAGCCTATAAGTGAGTAGCAGCACTTCCTAGGTTTGGGTCCTGGCTATATAAAAGAGGAAGTGAGCTGATCACAAGCACGCAGATATCCATCCATTCATCTGCTCTTGACTAATATATATATTATGTGATATAACGTGAGCAGCTGTTCCAAGTTTCTGCTGGCTTGACTTCCCTGCAATGATGAATTATAATGTGCATTATGAGCCAAATAACCCTTTTCTCCTTTAAGCTGATTTGTCAGATTGTTATTGTTGTTGTTACAGCATCAGCAAATGAAACTAGATGTCCTTAGAAAAATTGGAAATGTGACCTCAGAGGGGACAGTAGGACAGTCTCTCTCTAGTTTCTTATTTGGCAACATGATTCTTCCTCACATGTGTAGTACTCACTATGATTTGACACAGTCGAGAGGAACTTCACCACAAGCCAAATCAATAGGGATACTTGGTCTTAAACTTTTTAGCCTCCAAAACTATGTACTAAATAAACCTCTTTTTCTTCATAACTAACCTCCCTCAAGTATCTTGTTTCAAGAACAAAAAAGTATTAATATAATACATACAGGAAAAAAACAGAATCTATAAGGTTTGGTCCTTTTCACAGTTCTAGGCACTACCTGGTCTTAGAATTGCATCATCATGGCTAAAAGTGAACTATTATACATGAGATGTTAGTTATATTTGATTAAACCTATAGCTGTTGTTCAATGGCACATGGTTCTCTGTATGAATGATCCTAGGAAATTCCCATTTAACTTCCAAGTTCTGCCCTAGAACCTTACCTCTCTAAGTACCAGAACACAGTTCCCAGGACCTACACATTGAGGCAGCTCAGCAATTCTTCCCTTGTTAAGGTATGGCCCTGAGAAGCAACGGTGGTTGAAGTATATCTTTGGACAACAATATTTTCCATTGGTCATCACTGGAAATGAAGAAACAAGTGTTCACAGTTAGTCATTCTCACTCTACTCCATGTTTCCAAAGATGAGGTGGGGGTGGCAACCAGCATACACACCATTACATGAGTTTTGAGGTTTTGCACATGCTATACAAGCTTTTAGCTACATCCCCAGCCATGGAAATATGTATTTTGAAGCTTAGCATACTGTCTGGCAATGCTCTTAAATATTTTATATTTACTTTATGGAGCTTACCACTATCCTGAACTACATTTGTTGATTAACTCCTGGGTAATATAACACAAATCTAGAGCCCCACACTTCTGATAAAGGAAGTAGAAGACCTACTCCATGAACCCATTAGTCTTGATGGTCAGTTATTTCTTTTATAGTCCTTCAAATATCAATTATTCAATAATCTATTCTATAACATTCCTAGAGATAAACGTAGAACATTACCCAGACTTATAACTTATCTCCTAAGCCCCATCTTAATTAATACTTCAAATGTACAGGGACTTTTGGTTTATTTTATTTTGAGATAAGAGTCTCACTATGTAGCTATAGTTGTCCCAGAGTTTTATATGTAGACCATGTTGGCCTTGAACTTGAGGTTATCCTCCTGCCTTTTATCTCCCAAGTGGTGGGATGACAGACATGTGCCACTACATCTGGCTCAAATGTATTCTTTATTTCCAGATACAGTCCATTAAAAGGTAACCAAGAATCTCTTCTTCCCAATGTCACAAATACTATACCTGAATATGTGGAGTTCATCTGATTCTTCAGGCCCTCATGGACAGTTCTTGAAGACAGTATTCTGGGTCAAGAAAACAAAGGAAAAAAAAATAGTGAAATTACCTTTAGCCTGCAGGTTAGTTTCTTTCAAAAAAGCAAAAGTGGCCAACTTGTAAATCAAAAATAGAAGAATGCCGTTAACTCATAACACATTTTTTTTTTTTTTTTTTTTTTTTTGGTTTTTCGAGACAGGGTTTCTCTGTGTAGCTTTGCGCCTTTCCTGGGACTCACTTGGTAGCCCAGGCTGGCCTCGAACTCACAGAGATCCGCCTGGCTCTGCCTCCCGAGTGCTGGGATTAAAGGCGTGCGCCACCACCGCCCGGCTCATAACACATTTTTTAAAAGTAGAAATTGTTTTTAAAACAATACAAGCCACTATACAACCCACACCTGCCTTAAATGATCGTGCTGACTCAGCCTTTAAAGTAGCTAAGATTATAGATGTACACCACCATGCCTAATTTTACAGTGCAATTTTAGGAAAGGTGTATGAAAGAAATATATAAGCTATCAAATTCGACTTAAAAGTATATGCTTCCATCTGAGAAAAACAACACAAAGGAGATATATTCCCTTAAACAGTTATTTTCCCCTAGATATTCTAAATTTCAAACCTGAACTGTTTAGACATCTATTATATTACTTACTGTTTTTCTGGTTGAACCACTGCAATTTTCCTTTGTTTATGCACTGTAAGAGAAAAAAATGCCAAAAAATTTTGAAGACAAAGGCAAAGACTTACACTTGTAATCAGCATATTTAATACCTGGTTGTATGTAAATAATGAGCAAGTACTTTTAAATTAGTTTAAGTGTCAACATCCTAACTAAGGAACATTTTTCTAGGATGGGATCTTTTTAGGAAAAAAAAGAATATTTTCAAGGATCCACTAGGCTAATCAATACCTACAAATACTTTAACAGAAAAAACAAATACTGAAAACAAAGGCTGATTGGACAAGGACCCTAGAAGCAGTTAATGGAGCAGGAGCAGTTTTCAACACAGTGCTAGAGAAATAAAACATCCATATATATGAAGCTAGACTCTTAACTTACATCATATATAAAAATGAAAGCAAATTACCAAACAGAGATAAAACTTCAAAACCCTTACATATTAGAAAAAGTTCACGGCACTGAATCTGTGGAATCCTTCTTAAATATGACACCAAGAGCAGAGGTGATAAAAAAAAAAAAGCCAATGAATTACACTGAAATACATTAAAATTAAAAATGTGTGTATAAAAAGAGAATAGAGGGTTGACAGGAGGGCTTGGTGGATAAGGGTGCAGTGATATATTCCTTGTAATCTAGGAAATAAAACTTGCCTGAAGATCAGAGGACAGAGCCAGCCCCAGAGGTCAGGCAGTGGTGGCACACACCTTTAACTCCAGCATGTGGGATCACACACCTTTAATCTCAGTACTAGAAGGGTTGAGACAGGAAGTGATATGGCTGGGCAGAGAAAGGAATACAAGGTGGGAGGAGACAGGAACTCAGGTCTTTTTTAGGCTCTTGCAGGCTGAGGAGTAGGTGAGTTAAGAGGTAGCTTGCTCTGCTTCTCTGATCTTTCAACTTTCACCCTGATATCTGGCTCCAGGTTTTTAAAAAGACCACTTAGGGCACTTGCCACTCAGTCTGACAACCTGAGTTTGATTCCCAATAGACACTTGATGGAAAAGGAGAATCAACTCCCAGAAGTTGTTCTCTGACTTCCATGTGTATGCAGTGGCATGTGTATGTGCATACATAAACACAAATATACACACACAATAAATGTAGAAAAAAACCACCACCATATAACTAAAAGAGAGTGAAGGGGCTGGAGAGATGGCTCAGCACTTAAGAGCACTTGTTTTTACATAGAACTTGGGAGGCAGAGGTAGGCAAATCTGAATTCAGAGTCAATCTGGTCTACATACTGAGTTCTAGCCCAGCCACGGTCTACATGGTGAGACTTTGTCTCCAATTTAAAAAAAAAAAAAGGAAAATACAAATTTTAAAAAAATGGCTACCTCATTCCAATAGAAGCCAGCTTCTGCGCTGCCCTATGAAGAGATCCATTTGGCAAAGAACTTTAGCCAATGATTAGCAAAGAACTAAGTTCCTCAGTTCAATAGCCTATGGAAATGAATTTCTGTTGCTAATGTCTGACTGTATTCTCAAATTAATTCTGAAACCCTACTTACACATTAGAAGGCGAGGCATTTGGCAAGGGCTGAAGACAGACCTTTCATAAATGGGATTAGTACCCCTACAAAGAATGCCCCAGAGAGTAAGCAGTCTGTTTTAGCATGTGAAGACACAGCAAGAACATCTCTGAGCTGAAGAGAAGGCTCAGAGGGTAAGAGTACTTGCTGCTCTTACAGAAGACCCTGGTTTAGTCCAGTCCCAACATGGTAATTCACAACCATAAGTAACTCCGTTCCAGGGACTCTGATACCTTCTTTTGAACTCTGGGGGCATCAGGCACCCACATGATACATATTTATATATGCAGGCCAAACACTCATACACTTATGATAAAATTTTTTAAATCTGAAAAAGAAAAAAAAGGCCTTATCTAAAAAACAGATCCTAATATCTGCTAACACCCTATCACTTGGACTTCCTAGCCCCAGTGATAATAGATATATTATGTTATAGAATTTTGATATCAAAACCAGAATGGACTAAGACATTTGCCAGTACCCATCTGAGTAAACATGGGGAGCCTAGTTCAAGCCCTAAGATAATACCTGCCCTTGTGGAACCCTGTATTATTATAGTCTATGAGAAATCAAGATTTCCGAAGTTTAGCCCTGACCTCTAAGCTAATAAGAGTTTGTTGCAATAAATAACTGCCTACACAAAAAGATAATAAATATCATTTTGATTTTCTCTAAAATGTCTATATGCACTGTGACTGGTAGCACCTGTGCAAGAGATCATTTAATAACCAGTCCTCTAATTCAGAAATAGACAAATACCTCGTGCCCGACGAGGAGTACTGAGAGGATGGCCATTGGCTTCACACCATCCCAAAGGAAATATATCCATCGACTCCACACTTACAATAAATTCAGGTATAGGCTTCTTAGAACCTGTTAGATTAAGAAAACAAAATTTGAACTATTAAACAGCTTCCTCTGTAAGTTTTTTTGTTTTATGTGGTTTGTTTGTTTAGTTTTTGAGACTGGGTCTCACTAGGTAATATAGGCTAGCTTTGAAACAGTGATCCCAATGCCTCAGCCTCCTAAGTATTGGGACTATAGGCACTGCACAACCATGCCTAGGTCCTACCTACACGTTACTTTTTCAACAGCACTGTAGTAATATAGACACAAGTCTCTTAAGCAATGATCCTTCTCATGGAAGTCATACAGTTTATGTTATATAAATATTATGAAAAAATAAGTTGCCTTCTATATGTAACTTGTAAGAACCAAGAAGGAAGTAAATACACAGTGACCTTTGGCAAAGGAACAGCAAAGAAGTAACTGGAGCTATGACTGGTGTCATTCAGATGGCTAATAAGTATCATAGTCATCATTTCCTTGAAATAACCAGAGTATGGTGGCAAAACGTCAAGTTTACTTTAACTACCAGGACTAAGGTCTTGTATTCTTGGAATAAACCTGAATGCGGTACAATGAACTCAAATCAGGAAAAGATTGCCAAATTGTTTGGCAGATATTGCATGGATGTCTGCAGTAAATACTGTTCTTGACATCTTCATTACACATCAATTCTACAAATCAGAAATAGAAGGCATCTTTTTAGAGACTATTTGGCAGCAGGATAAAAAAAAAAGCAGGCACATACAATAGCTGCAGCATCGAGCACTTCCGTAGCTTCATCCACAAACCTGCCCAATCACTAAATATTACCTTGAGAAATATAAATTAAGTTTGTCTACATTCTATTTGGTTCTATTGTCTTGGGGCAACCAAAATGTCACCTCTTCAGTAAGTGAGGCCGTTAATGTTTTACTAATGTATTTTGGTAACATCAAAATAAACGTTATTTTGACTTGCCCTTATGAAAATAAAGGACTTTAAAGAGTTTTTATTGACTTCCATTTCCTAAAATTTAAAAGTCAAGGACAAAAAGTAAAATGTTAGCTTAAAATCTTGGATTTCAAATTATCTCACTATTTAACAAGTCCACTGAGTCTAACAAGCTACCCTACAGGGGTGAGCAGGAAGAGCAAAGAAATGGCCACAGGAAACTTGTCAGGGGTGCTGGCCCTTACCTTCTAGCTGGAGCCACAGGTAAGAGCCTCTCACTGAAGTAATGGTGGCAATGCAGACTTCTTCAGGGAGAAGAGGGTTCACTGCCTCCACTTTCATGTTCTTCTTAAACTGGTGCTCATAAATTGACTAGAAGAAAATCAATGAATCAAATTTACTAATTAGATTAATATCTAGTATTAACTTGTGTTCAACTGGAATGTTTTGCAAGCAGTATTTAATCCCTAAATTTACAGTAAAGCAATAAACATATTTTGTTCTGTTTTGTTTTCAAGGAAGCAAAGGGAATATAGGAGGAAACAAGTTTTAAGATTTAGTTATTTTCCTTCCTGATAACTCATTAAAAATTGCTGTTGGTTTTTGAGAGTATAAATCTAGAGCTGTCTAGATGGGCTCAGTGTGTAAAGGTCCTTGTTTGAACCCCAGAACCTACAAGGTGGAAGGTGAAAAGTTCCATGTGTGCCATGATGTGCACATGTACAAATGCACACACAAAATAAATAAATAAATTTAAAAATAAAACCATAACCTAATAGGACGCATATAACAAGAGATAGTAAACATAAATTGGCAGTGAAGAAAGCCAAGAACTGTCAGAACCAGCACTGATGCAAGTGGGGGCAGAAGTGAGTGACCTAAACAAGGTCTAGTTGATTTGCATGGTTCTTCTGTTTTGTTTCAGACACGTCTCATGTAGCCCAGGCTGACCTCTAACTCTTGCTACGTGCAAAGATGTGACCTTTATTCCTGATCCTTCTACTTCCACCTTCCAAGTGCTAGGATTTCAGGTGTGTACCATCATACCTTGCTTATACAGTTCTGAGGCTCTAACTCAGGACTCCAGGCATGCTAAGCAAGCACTCTAAAAAAAGACAACGAGCTACATTCCCAGCCCCTCTTTTTTTTTTTTTTTTTTTTTTTTAATTAAAAACAAAATGTTTTTTGAGATGGGGGTCTTACTATTTAGAAATGGCTGGCCTCCCATTTACATCAATCCTCCTGCCTCAGCCTCCTAGAGCACTGGAATTATAGTTGTGTATCTTCATGCTTGGAGGACCTTTATCTTTACTTCCTTTCTTTCTTCTTTCTTTTTCAGAAACATTTAAAAAGCATTTACATTATGCCATTATGTACTATTACATACCTCAGGGCAACTGTGTCTTTCCCTTCCCTACAGAAAGTGAGATTTATTCTCTGGAAAAGATAAAATACAAGATCTTTGGGCAGGAGGACACAAACAACTGTCAAGGGTGTGTATGTAGTGAAGGCCCAGCCGTAGCCTCTATAATATCAGACAGGGGACAGGAAAAGATCTTTTACAGTAATAGGACAACACATCAAGATAGAAGTTTAGTTTTTCTCAATGAATGGCCACTCAATTAAAGATCCCGCTCTGTAGGAAAAGTCAAGGTTGACAAACCCCATCCAAACATGCTCAAATTTTCTAATCAGTTTGTTTTAGTTTCCCATACTTAAATATAATCAGTAATCTAGAATGATCATATATTTAAGAATATAAAAGCTACATACAATAAAAAAGCAGATAGCATGCAAAGAAACCTTCAAACCAGTAGTGGTGTTAATTAACATCTTCTGGCAAACAAGAAAATCTATTTCATACTTAAAGAATAGTACACCATTAAAAATAAAGAACTATTAAGAGTTTTGTCTAATGGTGCATGCCTTTAATCACAGCACTCAGGAAGTAGAAGCAGGTAGATCTCTGTGAGTTTAAAGCCTGTCTTGTCTACATAGAAAGTTCTAGGCCAGACAGAAATAGGGAAATCCTGTCAAGTCAGTGAGACTCTACTGCAAAAATAAATAAAATAAAACAAAATAAAGAACTATTCAAAGAAGAGAAGTAGTCCTGAAAATCAAAAAAATATAGTATAACAAATTAAAAACTTGGGGCTGGAGAGATGGCTTAGAGATCAAGAGTACTTGCTACTCTGGGAACAGACCTGGATTTGGTGCCAGAATCTATACGGTGGCTCACGATCATCTGTAACTCAATTTCCAAGGATCTGATGCCCCCTTCTAGCCTCTGAGGGCATCACATGCACATAAACACAAAATACTGAGACACATAAAATAAAAACAAATACATCTTTTAAAAAAATCTTTTTTTTGTTTTGTTTTGCTTTTTGGTTTTTCGAGACAGGGTTTCTCTGTGTAGCTTTGCACCTTTCCTGGAACTCACTTGGTAGCCCAGGCTGGCCTCGAACTCACAGAGATCCACCTGGCTCTGCCCCGAGTGCTGGGATTAAAGGCATGTGCCACCACCGCCCGGCTAAAAAATCATTTAAAAAAAAAAAACCCTTATAACCCCAGCACTTGGTAAACTGAGGCAAGATGATTACCATGAGTCTAAAGATAGCCTTGGGACTCCTAGGGAGTCTGAGGTCAATCTGGACTACAGAGTGAGAGTAAATCTAAAAAAAACCCAAAAAACAAAAAACAAAACAAAACTATAAATTTTTGTTTGTTTTTTGAGACAAGGTCTCAAAAAATATATGTAGCCTAGCTGATCTGGAAATCACTCTGTAGACCAGGCTGGCTTTGAACTCATAGAGATCCACTGTCTCTGCCTCCCAGGTGCTGGGATTAAAGGCGTGCACCACCAGGCTCTGCTGAGATTCTATATTTTCTATGAGAGGAAAAAAGGCAGGCTACCTGCAACTTTGCACAAGGGAAGAGGAAAGGCAGGTTCATCTACAAAAAGTTAAGAGTAATCCTGTCTCAAAAAAACAACAAAAAACCCTCAAGAGTGAAATTGTCTTTTGACTTAAAACAAAACATAGCACTAGAAGTAAGACAAGTGAGCACTATTTTTAAATTCTGAGGTAACGTCCAACCTAACTTTCATATTAAAGCTAAACTATGAGTATATCAGAAGGATGAAAATTTCAATATATAGAATTTATTAAAGTTTACACAGTCCTTATAACCATGTTTTAAGAAGCTACTAAGCAATAGCAGGCTCCATCAAAACCACCAAGCAAGAGGCTGAAGAGATCGCTTAGTGGGCAATAGTACTTGCTGCGAGAGCAAGGAGACCTGCGTTCAAATCCTCGGTACTTATATAAAAAGCTCGACATGATGGCAGATGTCTGTAATGCCAAAGCTGTGGTGCAGAGAGGCAAGTGGATGCCACAGGCTCTCTGGGAATGAGCCAATCAGAAACAGAAAGCTTCACGTTTAGTGACAGACCCTACCTTTTAAAAATTGGAGAGAAATAGGACGACACCCAACATCCCCTTCTGGCCTTTGCATGTGCATATATGTCTGTCTCTGCATCGCTTTGTCTCTGTCTCTGTCTCTGTCTCTGTCTCTGTCTCTCTCTCTCTCTCTCTCTCACACACACACACACACACACACACACACACACACACACACACACACACACACACAAGTAAACCAAGGAAAGAGGCCATGAGTTCTATGTAACAGCAGCTCCAAATCCTAAGAGAGAGGAGAGGGAATTCCCTGTGTGATAGTCACAGAACTACTCGGGTAAAGCCTCGAAAGCTGTCTTTCCAGGGAGAAAAAAATATCAGAAACATTCATCTTCTGATTGGACTGCCTTTGTGGAATTAGTAACAAGAAGCTACTGGAGGGTATGGGAAGAACTAGTAATAGACACAAAGAACATTAACCAAACAGCAACAAAACAGCAATTATTCACATGACAAATGTTTTAAAAAGGAAAACAACCATAAAATACTGCAGCAGTGAGCTATTAAAGATGCACATATAGTAAATCTTTAACTGAAATTTCATCAAAATTAACTAGTGATGGTTAAGACAGAAGGGAAGGTAACACCAAACAGTTAAATGTTTATTTACTATACTATGTCACCACAAGTGTCTAAAATTAATACCTCAAGAGTATAGCATATTATTTTGAAAATAATGAGGTATAAATACAAGAATTACAATGAAGGAAAAAAATGTGGTCACTATATAAACTGAGGACATGATCTCTCCAAGGTATGGCTGAGGGGGTCTCACCGGAGGGAAGCACTTCTGGGGGGCAGCTTCGGCACCACACTGTTTGAGGTAGTCAGCCCAATCAAAGTCCTGGCTCCGGAAGCCTGCACAGAGACAGAAGAGCAATGATTCACACTAATACACCTGTGACTCCAGCATCTGCCAAGGTGTCCACTCACAACTCCTCATACTGTTAGTCTATGTACTGTCATCAATGTGGAGGGGCACTCTATAATACAAACCATAATTAGTACTTTTCATACTAGGGAACTGAACCCACAACTGTACAGAGCTAACTTTATAAAATTACTCTGGAAAAATTTTAATTATGTAATAAAATTAATGAAATAATTGTTCAAACTTCCAAATTTCAAACCAGGTCTTTTTTGAGCAGTCTTTTTGTATGACTAGTTACTGACAATTTGTCAAGAGTGTAAAAAAAATAAAATAAAAAGACAGGACTTGGTTTTGTATATAGAAATTTAGTCTTATTGATTTTATTAGTACTTTTTGTTGTTGTTGTTGTTGTTTTGTTTTTTCGAGACAGGGTTTCTCTGTATAACTTTGCACCTTTCCTGGAACTCGCTTTGTAGACCAGGCTGGCCTCGAACTCACAGAGATCCGCCTGCTTCTGCCTCCCGAGTGCTGGGATTAAAGGCGTGTGCCACCATCACCACCAGGCTTATTAGTACTTTTTAATCAGTGAGGACTTTTTGTCAATAAGGCCATTTACTTTTCTTAACATGTCTTAGCTAATACCAATACAATGTCTCTCTCTTTTTTTTTTCCTTAAGACAGGGTCTTATGTAGCAGTTCAGGATATCTTAGAACTCATGTAGCCAAAGCTGACCTTGAATTATTGACTGTCCTTCCTCTATCTTCCAAGTTCTAGGATTACGGGCATATACCACCATACCCTGGGTCTGTTGCAATACTCTTAACATTGTTTTCAGATTCATGTACTACAGAATCTGTCTAATGTTCCCAGGGATGGAGAGGATAGTGGGCACAGGGATGCAGCTGGATAGGAGGAATAATGTCCCTACTATTGTTGACAAAATTAACTGAACATCTCAAACTACTAATAGAGAAGATTTTGACTGTTCATAACACAAAGAAATGATATAATATCTAACAGATATGTCCATTACTCCACCCTGATCATTATACATTGAATGTATGTATTAAAATGCTACCCTGTACTCCATAAATACATACAGTATATGTCAATTAAGAAAACATTTTAAAACTCTAAATGCTCTTATATAATCTGAATCATAAATTCAACTCAGACAAAAATAAACAACTCTCTACTTTAATATGTCAAGGTTCTTGGTAGAAACACCTCCAAACTAGTATCTGACTCAACTCCATCTATATGGGAGTTACATGGCTGCTGTTCACTTTTGTCTAAATTGTTCTGCCTCAGAGCTTAATCAAAGGCTACTCAAAACTGTGTCCTCCTACAGGCAACAGTCCTTGCTATCCTCTTTCTTGCCCAAACAAAAAAGGCCTCAGCGCTCCCTCTGACCCAATCTTCACTTCTGATAAAACATTCCCTGACATGTTTCTTTCTTAAATACTTCTATTTTTATATAAGTGTATGTATATATGTGTGCATGTATTCACACATGTATGCTGGTACCTGCGGAGTCCAGAAGGGGGTACCAGATACCCTAGAACTAGAGTTGCAGGCAGCTCTGAGCCACCTGATATGGTTACTGGGAATTGGACTCTGGACTTCTGCAGAAGCAGCAAATGCTCTTAGCCACTGTGCCATCTCTCCAGGCCCCACTGTCGTTTTCAATTGCATAATTCCCTCCTTTCCCTCTGATTACAAGTTCAGTTGACTTGTCAACAGTATTCCCAAAGCTCCTATATCTTTAATTCTTGTTTTCTCCTTTTCACACAAAGGTGGCAAGCAGTATAAAGAACTTGGAATATCCTGCACCTTCCTGCAAAGCAACAAGTTCCTAGCATAGTGTTCAATGCCATACCTTCCCACCAGGTGCCCCTTGTGTTCTGCTCGCTGATGGTGGAGAATCTGGGAAGTTCTGTGGATGTTTTTTCCCATGTGCCTCTTGAAAGGCTAGATTATCTCATCTCTGCTTTCTCAGTGATAAATTCACTACATGTTCACAACAAACACTGCATAAATGTTTTTTTGGATGAATGAAGGCATCCAAATGAAGGGTGGAGGACAGAGTTTATGATCCTTGCAATATAAGAGTGCTTCCAGTACAATGCTTCAGCAGTCAGCATTCAAGAGAAGCCTTGATTACCAAAGCTTACTAAGTCAAAACAATCTGGTTTTCAGGTATAAGAAAAACTAATATCTGACACTTTCCAGATATTCCAAGTTTAAAAATATTAAAATTTTAGTCAAATTCAGTGAAGTTTTAGTTCAGTGCTTTGATTAGGTAAAATATATCTTTACAAAGTTACAAGAACAAGTAAAATGAGCTGTTACTCATTTTAGATCTTGATCATAACGTCCCTCTGACTAGTCATCTCCATAACAAGGTCTCAACACCTAAAACTCATCCACCTTCTAGCTAGGACTACAGGCTCAGTGTTTGTCAAACCTACTATACTAATTAGTGTCTGTCAACTTCACACAAACACAGACATATCTGGGAAGAGAGACTCTCAATTAAGGGATTGCCTTCATCAGACTGTGGTCCCAGGGGAGAGTCTGTAAGGCATTTTCTTGATTAATGATTAATGTGGGAAGGCCTAACCTACTGTGCGGACTGCCACCCCTCGGAAGGTGGTCCTAGGTTGTATGTATAAAAAAGCAGTCTGAGCAAGCCATAAGGAGCAAACCATTTAGCAGAATTCCTACATAGTCTGCTTCTGCTTCTGCCATGGGCTCCAGCCAGACTTACTTTAGTGATGAGTTTTAAGTATAAGATGAAAAAAACCCGTTCTTCTCCAAAGTTGTTTTTGGTCCATGTCTTATCACAGCAACAGAGAAGCAAACTAGGACACCACCCCTCTGTGACCTCCCAACAGATTCCACATGGAACAGACTAGCGAACCACAATAGAATCAGGCTTGAACCTGTCCTTCCAGCTGGCTATACAAATATATGTCAAAGTATGAGAAAAAATACTAACACTTCAGCTTGTGACTTCAAATATTACAGAATGAGCTGGGTGTGGTGGCACATGCCTTTAGTCCCAGTACTCCAGAGGCAGAGGCAGGTGGATCTCTGTGAATTCAAGGCCAGCCTAGTCTACATAGCAAGTTCCAGGCCAGCCAGGCCACATAGTAAGACCCTTCCTCAATCAATCAATCAATCAATCAATAAAATTATGGAATCTAGATCTCATTTACCTTATCTTGGACCTCCATAATACTCAAGACAAGAGGTATAAAAGATCTTACCAATACCATCCAACACACATTTCAAGGGCTAAGGCTGGTTCATGAGGAATTTAAGGCCAGCGTGGGTTATATGGTGAGCATGAGGACACACTCAGCTACATAGTGAGAACCTACATAATTACTTAGGATAGTAATAATTTTGAGAAACAACACAGAAGAACTCAAATCCACACCTGGAGGAGGGTTGATGTGTAAACCATTCTTTAGACTCCACTGCACAGGAAAGATGCCAGGACTGTTAGCATGGCACACAAATGATCTCCTGGTATGGTCTTCTGGTCGAAGGTCATCCATTTCCACCAGAAAGTACTTATTATCAAAAACCTATATAAGTAAACAGATAAAACTGACCAATGGATTTATGTATATTGTACACATAATATATATATATATATATATATATATGCACAAACATGTATCTATCACAGATAGACTTGTACTTTCCTTAGCACAATCAAACATGTTATTTATACTCACACTGGATTATTAAAATATTCAATAAATGTTAGTTCTACATCAGGTACCAGTTTAGTTAAATATCTTCCACATATTTACTCAGTTTTACTTGAGGTAGGTACCATTTTCAATTCCATTTTTCAGGTAAGGAAAATGAATTTAAAGAAAAGTAAAGTAACTTACTGCAGGTTACACAGTCAAGGAACTGCAAACCTGAACTCAGCCAAATATTTGGGTTCAAAGCAAAATTTAGTTTAAGTTAAGGGGTCAACTACATTACTATACTAACTTCAAATGCCAAAATAAGAACATAATAAATGTCCTCTTCAGACTCCAGAGAAGGTTGATAGGTCTTGGTCTCAGTCTCCTTTTGTCTCTCTTTCTCTCTGTGTGTGCGTGTCTTAAAGATTTCTTTTTATTTCATTACTTATATGTGTGTCTATGTCTGTGTGTATATATGTTACATGGGTGTAGGTGCTAAGGAGGAGGCCCTGAAACTGTAATTACAAGTGGTTATAAGCCACCTGATGTGGGTGCTGGGAATTAAACTAATTCTCTGTTAAAGGCTCTTAACCACAGAGCTATTCCTCCAGCTTCCAGAGATCTTAAGACTACTTACAGGCTCAAAAATCTCTCAGTGCTCTGAGAATAATCTTCCACTAAGACAAACAAAATGTAAATCTCATCAAGTCAGATAATTAAGCATCCTAGTAATTATTCCCATAGCTATAATCCACCTTGGGCTCTACTTCCAGAAAATGGGCTTCTGCTCTGGTCCTAAGCCAAATACTCCCCATTACACAGTAACTGCACTTTGACAATGTGGTCACTCTTAACAAGAGCCTAAATTTTGTAAGCTGTTGGAGAGATTAAAGTCTGAGTCCAGAACACACAGCTGTAGCTATCCTAATGGTGATGCTAATTCTGTGACCCTACATGTCTCTCTATGCCCCTAAAACCTGTCCCTGGTTAGATAAGCAATGGTACTCTCTGGATTCATACTTTATAAACATGGGCCCAAATAATAGTCAAGTCCTTTCTGTTATACAAAGTAAGGCTTGCCTCTAAAGAACGTTTCCTTCTCCTACTTTGGTGCTCTGACTCTGCTCTGCTTTGGCTGTTCAGGACTACTAAGCTCTGAAGAAGAAATGGCACAGACACACAAAACTGGACAATACAATACAAATATACAGAAGAGATCTGGCTTTACAGTGAACTGTATTATTATAGCCTCAAGATCAAACTACCACCATTTCCTCAACTAGTCACCCTGATGGCAATTCTTTCCAGAAGAAAATTACTGCCATTTCACCTTAGCAATTGTAGCAGGAGAAATCCCAAAGGGAGACCATGGATCCACAGCTTCCAATTTCATATTTACAGAAAATTCATGGGTTCCAATAACTTGCTTATCCTGAAATGTATATAACAAAAAAAGAGTAAAAATAAAGTATCTTTGACTTAACTTACACTCATATATAGCTGACTACTTGTGATGGTTAATCTTCATTGTCAATCAGACTGGATTTGGATCATCTAGGTGACATGCTCTGGGTGTGTCTCTAAGGGTATTTCCAGAGAGGTTTAACCAAGGAGAGAAGAACTATACTCTGAATGTGGAGAATACCCTATGAACTATGGTCCTGGACTTGTTGGAAAAGTAGGAAGTGAGCTGAGCACCAGCATTCATTTCTCTTTGCTTGCTGATTGCATGTTTACTATAACCAGGCACTTCAAGCTCCTGTCTCCGTACTTCTCAGCCATGACAGCCTCCATCCCTTCAAACCATGAGTTAAAATAAACCCTTATTCCTTAGGTTGCTTTTGTCACAGCATTTCATCACAGCAACAAGGTAATCTAGTTAATTAAAATAACAGAACTGTTAAGCTTCTGGTACATCCTGTAATTTTTCTTCCTGGGAAAATCCATTCAGGACAAAAACAACAACTCATGTAAAACATTCCTCTCTCTGTTTGGAATACAATGAACACCCGGAAGAAAGATTTATTTCCTAACTAGTTAAGGTTATGTAGTTAAGACTGGAAAAGAAGACATTCAGATAGCTTTAAGAGGACATTGAGAGAAACCTAGTTAACTGCTGGAAAACAAGGCGGATCATAATCTCTCCAGTTTGACCCCTCCTTCCCACCACAGGCCACTCTCCTGCCTCCAATGATTACTTTTCATTCTTTACCTCCTCTAATTGCTACTATCTACTATAAGGAGAAAATTTGTATTTATCGTGAGTTTCTGTTTTTACCTTAAATAAGTAAGAGGGCAATGGCTCTTCCTCTTCCTCTTTTACTTTGGCCAGAATCTCTTGCCAGTCAGCTTCATTTTTCAGATGCCTGATGGCTTTAGTACGACAAAATAGCATGTTTTAAGAGGAGAAAGCCTATAGTTTTCACTTCTGAAGCATTCACATAAACATAAGTACTTTCTACTATGGGTTAGGAAAAGTTCAGGATTGTTTCACCACCACCACCCCATCCCCGCAAGAGGGCAGGGTTTCTCTGTGTAGCTCTGGCTATCCTGGAACTTGATCTGTAGACCAGGCTGACCTCGAACTCAAGGATCGGCCTGCCTCTGCCTCCTGAGTACTAAGATTAAAGACATGCACCACCATGCCTGGCTTTTTTTCTTTTATGGGTGAGGGGTTCAGGTCCACCTTCACACAAAAGAACTTGTACCCTAATCTCAGTACTGGACTCTGTTTAAGAGGCCAGAAAATGAAAGTTTGCTAAAATATCTACAGTAAGAGCAGAAGTAATGCTGCAGCCCACGAAATAATGCAATAAATACCCAAACTGGACTACACAGTCATAAATGCAAGTGAGGGTAAAATATTGGTTAGGGGAAAAGCCTGAGGTATAATCAGTAGTGTATGCTAAACTCTAAGTGTAATAACAAAATCAAAGAGAAATATACACCTAATGCAATTACTTTGTATAATACAAAACATTTTTATGTGAATTAAGGAAGGTTTTTATAATATGTAGAACACATTTTCAGCCTCAAAGATATTAATAATAAAACAATAATAGAAGTTTACAGAAAAGTATTATGTAACTCTTTACCTAGTGGGGGCTGAAGTTCATATCCTTGCTGAGCAGCCCAACCAATGTGATGAAGAAACGGATCTAAGTAATACAACCAGTGTTCAAAACCGTCAGAACTTTCAAGTCCTTCATAACGCAGCTTCAGCCGTCCCCCAATGTTCTCAACAACAGTAACAATCCAAGTGCTTAAAGAGTCCTGGAAAGCTTGGCATTCTAGTCTGGATCCCGGGGCAATGAGGTCTAAAGGATTCCTTCCATGACGGAGCTGTAGGTTAGAAACATGAAACGGGAGAGGTTAATGTTTCTTTTTAAGAGTCAAGTTCTAAATTTTCTCAAACTAGTCTTCATATTGTTTTACTCACCCAAACACTGGCATTAAATTACATTGTCTACAGATAGTCTCCCACAATATCACTTTTGGATGATATGAAAATGTTTATCATAAAGAAAATCTTACTTATAACACAGTAAAATTATTTTAACAAATATCTCTAAATTATTTCATTTAGTATAATTTTAAAAATAGAATCTTGTCTCTGATTATGAAAGCAACTATGATCACCATTAAAGAGAAAGTCAAACATGCCTACCCTCTTTTAGAATACTAAAGACCTAAAAAGACCAGAGAATAGTTGGTATAAGCACTACACACAAGTCAATATCTACTTATGCTTCTCTTTGTTTTTTTTTTCAAAATATATATTGTTTTTACTGATTAGATCACAGTATTAGAGCAGATGTCAGCTTCCCTACCTTTTAAACTGTTCTTAGTATTTTGCATCTAATGAGCAATAATGTATCTACTTCTGATGAGATTTTACTTGTTTTCCCCATTCCACATGTTCTTATGAACAGTAAGAACTTTTGGTTATAGTGAAAGGAAAGGAAAATTTAACTATCTAGATTTTTTTTACTAAGAAAAATTAGAGGCTACATAAATGGCTCAGCAGTGAAGAGCATGTACAGCTCTTGTAGATGACTTGAGTTTGGTTCTCAGTATCCATGTCAAGTAGCTCACAACTGCCTATAACTCCAGCTACAGAGGATCTGATGCCCTCTCCTGGCCTCAATAAGCACTCATACTCAAGTGTACAAACCCATACTCAGACACACACAAATATACACCACTAAAAATAAAATTGTAAATTGGGCATGTTGTTACACATCTTTAATACTAGAATTCAGGAAGCAGAGGCAGACAGATGTTTGTGAGTTCAAGGCCACCGTGGTCTACATAGAGAATTTGAGGCTAGCTAGGCAGTGGTAGAACACCCCTTTAATTCCAGCACCCAGGAGGCAGAATCAGGCAGATCTTTTGAGTTTGAAGTCAGCCTGGTCTACAGAGTGAGTTCCAGGACAGCCAGAGCTGCACAAAGAAACCTTGTCTCGAAAACACCAAAAAGTAAATAATAAAATAAATAAATAAATAAACAAACAAACAAATTTTACCATCTAGATATGTATTTAAAACTACAATAAAGAATAGGGGGGCTGGAGAGATGGCTCAGCACCCACATGGCTGCTCAAAACTATCTGTAACTCCAGTTCCAGGGAATCCACCACATTCATATAGACATTTAAGCAGTCAAAACACCAATGCACATTAAGGACCTTTGTGAGTTCAAGGCCAGCCTGGTCTACATAGCGAATTCCAGGACAGTCAGAGCTATTACAGAGAAACCCTGTCTTGCAAAAACAAAAACAAAAAAATCAAAAAGGAAAGAAAGAAAAAAAAATAGCGTCAGATTCCCAGCACCCGTGTAAAGTTGGTGTGGAGGCAGGAACCTATAATCCCAGCACAGGGAAGACAGAGCTAGGAGGATCCTGAAAGGCTTGCTAGCCAGGCAATCTAGCCAACTAGTGAACTCCAGTGTGGTGGTATTGTGTTCCCCAAAATATTGTGTACCTTAATAAACTTATCTGGGGTCAGAGAACAGACAGCCACTAGATACAGAGGCTAGAAAATGGTGGCACTCACGCCTTTAATCCTAGCATTCCAGAGACAGAAATCCCTCTGGATCTCTGTGAGTTCAAGGCCGCACTGGAAACAGTCAGGCATGGTGACTCACACCTTTAATCCCAGAAAGCAGTCTTTAATCCCAGGGAATGGTGGTAGAACGCAGAAAGGTTTATAAGGCGTGAGGACCAGAAACTAGAAGCATTTGCCTGGTTAAGCATTTGGCTGGTTAAGCATTCAGGCTTCTAGCAGCAGTTCAGCTGAGAGCCATTGGGATGAGAACACAGAAGCTTCCAGTCTGAGGAAACAGGACCAGCTGAAGATCTGGCGAGGTGAGATAGCTGTGGCTTGTTCTGATTTTTTGACCTTCCAGCGTTCACCCCAATAACTGGCCTCAGGTTTGATTTTATTAATAAGAACTTTTAAGATTCATGCTACACTCCAGGACAAGGGAGAGCCTCTGTCTCAAAAAATAAAGAGGAGAGCAATTGATGAAGACATCCAGTGTCAACCTCTGACCCACACGTGTGCTCCACACACACATATAAACATGCACACACACACACACACACACAAAGAAGAGACTAGAGGAAACTTAATTTATACAGCAGTTACCTTGGGTTTAAGTCCCAGAATATAGGAATGAGGATGGGGTTAAAGAAAAAAAAATTAGTGAACTTGTTCCAAAGTCATCACTTAACCACCACCCCCAACCTCCATAGTCTTGGTCTCCTGGCACTCATTATACAGACCATGCTGGCCTCAAACTCAGTTTTTCCTGTCTTCCTCCTTAGTGCTGGAACCAAAGGTATGAGACACTACTCCCAGCCTACTTAATTATTCTTATCATTCACTGTTACATATTTTCCTAGTATAAACTGCTCTGTGAAGTTTTCATATCTAGATGTATAAAAGGACAAATGAACAAATGGAGGAACACATTAATAGTTACAAGTTTTAAGATGGCAGAATCATGATCAATGCAGGCCAGGATATTTTATATGCCCATTGTTCACAACGTCATCCATCCATCCAACCATTCATCTATCCATCCATTCATTCATTTAATTTTTACCAGGAGTTCAAGATGTGCCAGGCCCTGGGTAAGAATAAAAAAATTTAATCTGAGTACAAAAAAAATTTAAAGTTGTTTGAAACAGTGTTCACAAATGGGCATGGAAGTATCTATCAGTAGAACCTCAAAAGAAAACTGATTCAGAAGCTTCTCAGGTACTGAGCAAGTCAAAGTACAACTGCTACGAAGTCTAAATGTTCCAATACTTGTGCTTACAACTCTAAGAACAACATTTCTCTATTCTCTAAGGAGTGAATTAGCAATTACTGTTGGATTTCTTGCAAAGGTTTTCCACACTGGTTTAGGAAGCAGTTGATACTTACGCCCTCTAGCAGAGACACAGGAGGACTACAGGCTCCTCTCAGGGTCTGCTTTAGAAATGCACCCCAATCAGACACTTTATCTCTGATGCCTAAACAAGGAAGAAATAGTTAATACTCATGTTAGCCACAGAACACAAGAAACCTGACATACAGAAATGGCTTAAGGGTATGTTTATCACTTAAAAATCAGTGTATTGCTTCTTTGAGAGCTTGAAAAGATCAAACAAAATAGCTACAAAACTTCCCTACTCTCCAGTGAGCCAAGTGCTCGTTAGTTTTTGTCACCTTGACACAAACTAGGGTCATCTGGGAAGAAATCCCAGTTAAAAAATGCTTCCATACCACTGGCCTGTACACTAGTCTGTGGTACATGTTCTTGATTTCTGACTGGTGTGGGAGGGACCAGACCACTGTGGGTGTAATATCCCTGGGCAGGTGGTACTGAGCTGTGTAAGAAAGCCAGCTGAGCAAACCACAGGAATAAGACCGTACAACGTTCCTCCATGGCCTCGGCTTCACTTCCCGCCTTGGCTTCTCTCAATGGACTGTAGCCAGAGATAAATGTATACCAAATAAACCCTTCCCTGCTCAGATTGCTGTTGGCCATGGTCTTTATCATAGTAATAGAAACCAAATTAAAATACTACTCTCTGGCTAGCTCAATAAGAATTATAAGTAAAACAGAGACTATGAGTTGTATATAAAATAATTCCCTTAATTTTATATAAAAAAAGCTTCATTTCTATTATAAAAAATTTCAAACATAAATAAAAAATACAGAAAGCGGGCTGGGTGTGGTGATGCATGCTTTTAACCCAGTACTTTGGGAAGTTAAAGCAGATAGATCTCTATGTGCTCAAGGCCAACCTGATCTACATAGCAAATTCCAGGTCAGTCAGGGCTACATAATGAGAGACCCTGTCTCAAAAAACAAACAAACAACAAAAACATACACAGAAAGAGGTATAATGAATCTTCATGCACCCTAGCTTCAACAACTGTCACCTCATGCCTATACGTTTTATCCAGAGCAAAAGTTAGCAAACTGCCTTGTGGGCTGAGTCAGACCTGCTTTTCATAATAAAACTTTATTGGCACATAGCCATGCTGACTGTTGATGTTTTGTCTGTGGCAGCCAGCTTTCAAACTGCAAGGGTAGAGTGCAGCAGCTATGATGGAGACCATATGAGTGACAGAACTAAAGCCTTCACTATCTGGCTGTGAGCAAATCATTTGCCAACCCCTAGCAAATACCCTCACAAATTCTACTGCCACCCAATCAAGAATTACTTAGAAGCCAATTTTAAACATCATATAATTTTATCCATATATATTTCACTAAATATTCATAAAATAACTTTACATTTTTTATACATGTGAGTAGTTGCCTCAGTGTATATCTATGAACCACGAACATGCAGTGCTCATGGACAGCAAAAGACGATGTTGGACCCCCTGGGACACGGGTTACAGACTTTTGAAATGTCATGTGGATGCTGGGAATTAAAGCTGGGTCCTAAAGAAGAGCTGCCAGTGATCTTAACTGTTGAGCCAACTCTCCAGCACCAAAATAACTTTTTATAAAACCAGAACATCACATGTTTAACAAGTTAGTAATTTTTCAAAAGCAAATGTCTAGTCTACATACAAACTCCCTTAATTATATCAATTGATTTTTAACTTATTTCATCACATTGGGAACCACTTTAAGAACCATACACTGTCAACAACTTGATTGAAATTCCTTTTGTCTGTAGATTCATTCTTCTCTTTCCCTTCTCTCAATTTTCTTGTAACACACTGAGACACACAGCCTCTTATCTTATATAGTTTTTTCAGATTCTGTGTTCATTGGCTGCTTCCTTACAGTGACCAGTTATCCCACTGCCCCCATTTTTTTTCTCGTCTTTTTACTCCCGTGTGTGTGTGTGTGTGTGTGTGTGTGTGTGTGTGTGTGTGTGTGTGTGTGTGTGTGTGTGTTAGTAAGGACTGAACCCAGAGCCTTGTGCTTGCATACCAGGCAAGTATACTTCCACTGAGTTAAACCACCAGCCCTGCCCTTTCTATATTCTACAAATCAAGATTTAGAGTCAGAACTGATTTTTCTGGAGAGGAGAAAGTAAAAATATTTCACAAGTGGAATTATATCCTTCCCCAAAGAGGCACATAAGGTCTAGTTGTCTGTCCTTCTGTGTCTTAGAGTTTCTATTGCTATGACGAAACACTATGACCATAAAGCAAGTTGGGAAGAAAAGGGTTTATTCAGCTTATACTTCTACACTGCTGTTCACCATTGAAGGACGTCAGGACCGGAACTCAAACAGGACAGGATCCTGGAGGCAAGATCTGATACAGAGGCCATGGAGGGGTACTGCTTACTGGCTTGCTCCCCATAGCTTGCTCAGTTTGCTTTCTTATAGAACTCAGGACCACCTGCCCAGGCATGGCAACACCCACCATGGGCTGGGCCCTCCCTTGTGGATCACTAATTGAGAAAATGCCTTACACTGGATGTCATGGAGGCATTTCCTCAACTGAGGCTCCTTCCTCTCTGATGACTCTAGCTTGTGTCAAGTTGACACACAAAACCAACCAGTACATTCTGTAACATTAATAGCTTTGTTAAAAACTGTATGTGCATGCATGTGTTGTGTGTGTATGATACAACTGTGTTTTCCTATAAGCACACATGGGAGGCCAACAGAGAATGCCAGGTGTCCTGCTATATAACTTTTCAACTTATTCCACTGAGAGAACTTAAATTCTCTCTGTTTTACATACAACTCTTACTAAACTAACCAGACAGAAATGTCTTAGCTTGGTTCCTATTGCTATTTTTTAAGTAGGCCAGGTAGCTGGCAATTCGGGGATTCTCCTATGTCTGCTTCCCACTGTGCTGTGCTTACAAGCCTGTGACCATGTCCAGCTTTTATGTAGGTGCTGGACTCTGAACTCAGGTCCTCAGGTCCACAAAGCAAGCACTCTTCCCCACTGGCCCGTCTCCACAGCCCACAACTTTAACAGTCACTACACAGATACACTGCTTCACTGGGTGCTAAAAACTGTAAAACTCTATCACTCTTTGTTCATCAATTAATCAAAATACTTCCATAAAAATTTCTCTTTATAAACTATTTGATGAACTTGAAGTAAAATGTATGAAAGGAAATATGGATGATTCTTTCATTCTTTCTCCATATTTGCTGGCTTTTAAAATAATCAGTTGATTCCCTGGCATTTTCCAAAGGCCATCAATGAAGTTTTTATTTACAAATTGTACTATGAAGTCATAAACGAATGTATGTTCACGGTCACTGAAGTTATTGTCCTTATTAATAATCAAACTGTCTCTTTAATCAGAGGATGTCTCTTCAAGTTGGGTCTTGAGTCCTTCGGATATGACAGTCATGACAGTATGGCAAGATATTTCTGACTTGTTTGTCATTTCCTGACTCGAACCAGAAACAACTACTTCTCTAAGGAACCCCTATATGTTTCAGTAAAAATAGTATTTAAAGTTAGATTTGGTAGCTCACAATCTAATTCCAGAAACTGAGAGGTAGAGGCACAAAGATTAAGAGTTCAAGATCAGCTGGGGGGTGTGGGCATGTGGGGGTGTTGCACACCTTTAATCCCAGCACTCAGAAGTAGATGCAGGTGGAACTCTATGAGTCTGATGTCAGCCTGGTCTACAAAGCAAGTTCCTGGACAGCCAGAGCTGTTACACAGAGAAACCTTGTCTCGAAGGAAAAAAAAAAAAAGGTTCAAGATCGTCTTTGGTTATGTAATGAGATTTCGGCAATCCTGGGCTCCACAAGATCCTATCTCAACAACAAAGATGGTGTTAAAGATCCTAAGTGAGGTGTTGTGGGTACAACTGCAACCGCCACGGGGTTGTTTCTAGGCCTTTTCAGCGTCTAGAACTAAAAGAATCTCGTTTGCTGCTGCTTTAAAAGATCATGTACATATGTAGCCTCATCTATGTAGATTATATTTCTTTTTTCTCAGGCCAAAGATCCTAGTTTTCAATTAGATGCTATCATTTTGCTATATTTCAAAATACACCAATAACTATTTCAAATACAACCAACAGGATGATCATTGAAAACAAAGGATTTTGTTTTGGTCCCTGAAATACACTCCTATATTAGGAATGGACATGCAAATCTTATTTTAAAGTATTAAAAAGTTCTGTGGCCACTCCTCAAGTTCTATCTACACTCAGAAAATTTTATTTTGCTTTGTGAAGAGTTGCTTTTTAAATTTCAATTTTTGAGATTTATTTTTTATGTATATTGTGCTCTATCTGTAAGCACACCTCCATGTCAGAAGAGGGCATCAGATTCCATTATAGATGGTTGTGAGCCACCATGTGGTTGCTGGGAATTGAACTCAGGACCTCTGGAAGAGCTGCCAATGCTCTTAACCATTGAACTATTTTGTTTCATAGTTACATTCAGAAAATCTATCACCTTCATTGTACTCCTCTGACATACCTTTTCTATGATTTCTTTAATTTCTAAAAAAAAGTCACAAACACATTCATATGCTTTCTTCCTCTTCTAGTGTATTTCCATTTTCTTCCTTTCTGTTTTTTTTTTTTAACATTTAAATTTTATTTAGCTAGCATATGTGAGTGTGTGTATGACCGCATGCATGTGTGGGTATAAGCCCAAGGTTGATGTCAGGAATCATTCTCAATTCATCTTCCACATTAATCAATAAGGCAAAGTCTCTCAATCAAACTCAGAGCTGGCCAATAAGGCTAGTCTTGCTAGCCAGTTTATTCTAGGGATCCCCTGTCTCTGCCTTCCAAGGCTTGAATTACAGTCAGATAGCCATGTCCATCTGACATTTACATGGGTCCTGGGAATCCAAATTCCAGTTTTCGTAATTTCATGCTTGAGCAGCAAGTGCCTAACCATTAACCAACCCCCTACCTTAAAAAATAAGTGTGTGTGTGTGTGTGTGTGTGTGTGTGTGTGTGTGTGTGTGTGTGTGTAAACATATTCTGAGTTGGTAAGCCACTCCTTGGCTACATTAGATATACAAGATGATTCTTCTTATGCTGACTGTACCACTCAGCATA